AATATTGCATGGTGCCACTGTTGTAAAACAACCTCAGGGTTGGCGGGAGACTGAGAAAGATGGGTTCAATAATGTATACTGCATTGAAACAGATGAGGAAGAAAACTGTTTAAAAGGGATATGTGATTAGGTATTTTTGTCATGACAGGAGTCTGGAGCGAAGGCTGCATAGTGGAGTGGATCTGGGGGGAGGGATTGTAAAACAATGAAAGAATTTTTCTTTTAGTTTTCCAAGAGTGTAGTGTACTAGGAGGGAGGATTGGGAGGGGAGCAAATGCAACAATGAATGAATGGAAATCCAAAGTCTCTGTAAATTTTCATTGAAATAATACATTTATAAAAATCATGAAAAAATACATAGGGGAAAAAGACAAGTTAATGAATTTGAAGTTTCATAATTTATCAGGAGCCTTGCATAATACAGGTTGTTAATGAGTCTTCCCTCAATCCTGATTCAGCATTCTCCTTCATAGAATCCAGCCTCTCGAATGATTTGCTCAGTATACAGATTGAGTAGATATGGAGAAAGAATATAACCCTGATGCACACCTTTCCTGATTTTAAACTGTGCAGTATTTCTTTGCTCTGTTCAGAAAGCAGCTTCTTGGTATAGGTTTAAGTTATGTATAAACAAAATTAAGTGTTCTGGAATACCGTTTCTTCTCAATGTGAGCCAAAATTTGTTATGATCCACACAATTATGATTATGACTATGCCTTTTATAGTCAATAAAACACAGACATTTTTCTGGTGTTTTTTTTTTTTTTTTTTTTCTACCAGTCAGGATCCATTCTGATTTCAGCAATGACATCCCTGCGTGAACTTCAGGCAGTTCTCTCTCAATATACTGTTCTAGCCATTTTTTGATGATCTACAGCAGTATTCTGCTTGCATGTAATATTAACAATTTTGTTCAATTTCTACATTCTGTTGGATCATGTTTTTTGAGGATGAGAACAAACACGGATCTCTTTCAGTCAGTCCACCAAGCATGTGTCCTTCAAATTTCCTATATACGTAGACTGGGGAACATCCAGGGCTGTTATCTCTTCATTAGAAACCTGTCAACTGGTACTGCATCCATTCCTGGGGATTTTTTTTCCCCCCACTGCCCTCAAGTGCACTGTGAACTTCTTCCTTTCTTACCACTTGTTCTTATTCATATGGTAATTGCTGAAATTGTTCAGTGTCAACCAATTCTTTTGGTTACAGTGATTCTGCATATTTCTTCTCTTTTTTTGATGTTTCTTGGAACAATCATGATTTTGTCCACAACATCTCAGTATTGCAAATGGAAACGAATTAATTTTCAATTCTTCCAACTTGAGAAATGTGGAGCAAGTTCTTCCCTTTTTATTCTCCAGCCCCAGTTCTCTGCTCATTTAGTTATAATACTTTGCTTTGTCTTCTCTAACTGCCCTTTGAAATCTTCTGTTCATCTCTTTTACTTCTGTTTCTTCACTTTATGTTGGCTTCTCAATGCTCTCGTGCAATGTTTTGTCTCTTGGGTGATATATTTTCATCCTCCTCCTCTTTGCAGACCTTTTGCTTTCTTCATGGATGAGATCTTTGATGCCATCTAGTCTTTGATCATTAGCATTCAATGCCTTAAACCTATTCTGGAAATGATTTTTACATTTAAGTGGGATAAGCTTGACATCGTATGTTAGTTGTTCTGGGATTGTTTTAATTCTCTTCAGTTGCCATACCTTTTCAACCTGTATGCAAAGCAGATTATCTGAGAGGCTGGGCTCTATGAGGAGAAGTGTGGCATCAGGATTGGTGGACGATCTATCAACAATCTGCGTTATGCAGATGACAAAACCCTGCTCGCTGAAACTGAGGAGGACCTCAAGCACTTACTGCAGAGGGTCAAGGACTGCAGCCTTCACCATGGACTGAGGCTCAATGTCAAGAAGACAAAAATTCTCACCACTGGACCAATCGGTAGCATCAGGATGGATGGCGAAGAGATCGAGATTGTTCACAGCTTCAGTATGCTCAGCTCCACGGTCAACACTCTTGGCACCAGTAGCCAGGAAATCAAAAAACGTATTGTGATGAGAAAGTCTGCGGTTAGGGAACTCTCTAAAGTACTCAAGAGCAACGGTGGTCTCTCTGGAGACTAAGGTGCGCCTGATACAGGCCATGGTTTTTGCAATCACTTGTTATGCATCAGAGAGTTGGACAATGACTAGGGAGGATAGAAAGAGAATTGACGCCTTTGAGCTGTGGTGCTGG